ACCCAGATACTCTGTTAATGCATTTAGATAATATAGTGATTGACACCTTAGAAATACTTTAGACAGACAGATAAAAAGGATTCCAAATGCATCCTTTGTGAATTTTTAATACAAAGATTTTGCATTGTCCAGTGATGAAAACAAATCATCTGTAGAAAGACAAAACTGTTTTTCCATTCATATCATTCGCTGAGGATGTTTGTGTGTGTTCAGTGTCTGATAGCATCTTAAAGTTAATCGCTTTACCATTTGTAGCAACAAGATATGTCACTTGACAAGCACTTGTATTTTGTATCTTCCTCTTCCTTTCTTGTTTTTTCCCCAAGTTCCGTGCTGTATGATGAGCAGGTGATGTTTTCTGGCAGCAAATTGTTTCTTTACAAACAATACAGAAGGTTTGGATTTATTTCAAATTCCAGAGAAACCAAATAAATCGGTAATTTTTTTTTTTACTTCAGGTTTTACAATTACTGTTAGATCAAAGAAACTTCTGTATTGTAGTTCTTTTGGGGGTCCAATACCCAAAATCACTGTGACTGGACTTGACCTTGCTTTCATTTTCAGTTTGCTGCACTGACATGCTCTTCACGACTCTTCCCAAAATTATGTATTACCAAATTATTCATAGAATCATACAATATTTTGGGTTGGAGGGGACCTTCAAAACTATCTCACCTTAATACTAATGGTGAGGAGGAATTTTATTAGTGTTCGGTGTGTGGTGACAAATAGTATATTTTATAAATTAATTTCAAGTTAATGCTAAATTATAATGGAAATACATATTGCATACACTTTGCTACCAAAAGAGTTCATCATGATTAATGTTATTACAGTGAACACCAAAGTAATTAATAATGATTTGCCCTTCTTATAAGTGGTACCAATGTAGAGAAAAGAAGGTTAGCCTAATTAAATTCCACAAACCACTTTAGGGCTCTGCTGCATTGTGGAGGTTGTTTTTTATGTTAATTAATTCTGTATGAAAGGTTGCTGAAGTGTTTTCATATTTTTTTTGAAGAGGCACAAGGAAATATTTTGAAAATATTATTTTTTTGTCCAGGGTACCTTGACCAAGCAAGATGTAGTGCTTTCCATGATAAGCTCCTGCATGCTATATAATTATAGTAAATAATAATAAACTGAAGATTCTGGTATTTTATTGAGGGATAGAGCTGAAGTTGGGTGAGGGCGTTACTGTGTTCTGAGAAGACACAACTGAATAGGGAGCAAATCTCAGGCCTAGAAATCCAGTTCACTTGCTTGCAGTACACAGAGTTGCTGGACAATACATTATGGACTTAACTCCCCTTTTCAATTGCTTACTGTCCTCGTTCCTAGTCTTCCACACAAATGAATGCTGGACCAGCCTTGGCTCAGATTTTAATTTCCACACATCTGATTTCCTGATGATCTAGTGTTGTAGTTGAAAGTGTGAAAGGGTATGGTTTTATCTGTTATTTGCTTTTTTGGTTCTTTTTTAATCTGTCTTAAAGTAGAGAGGTAGAAGACATCTTTGGTAGCATTTTGGTGACCTGCCTAGTTCATTTCCAGCTTCCCTTAACTGTTGTTGAGTAATACAAATATTTCAGACTCGGATTCACACCAACAAAAATAGCTGTGAAAAAACAAATGTGAAAATTTACTTTGCCTCTCCTTCTACTGAAATTCTTGGAAATGTTTTTACTTTTAGCCTTCTAATAGACCTGTTTGGAAATCCTATTCAAGCTGGATTTTTTAAACCCCAATTCCCTTAAGCACATGCTTCATATGTTAGACATGTGTTTAAATTCTCCTGATTTAGTTATGTACTTAAGGGCATTGCTGAATAAAGAAGGGCACGAGCATGTACTTAAATACTTTGCTGATCAAAGGAACAAACCTTTTGATTTGATCTACATTTAATGTAAGTTAGATCACCTACCCAGTAGTCAAGAATTTACCAGATGTCTCTATTAAAGGCACAGTTCTTGATTAAGCTATGTTCTTCTGGCTGTGGAAACAGGAAGGGGGCTGCACATTACAGCACATTCCTTTCTTAATTTTTCTTTTGTGACACTGATTGTAAATTACATTTTCAAATACTGTGACCTCATTGCAAATAAAAGAAGAGATCAAGATAGTAAAAATTAAAAGAGAAAAGAGGGGTTTGGTTGTTGAAGTCATATATTCAGAGTAACACCAGAATAATTCAATATGTTTTATATTCTTAATATTTTTTCTTTCTATATGCAGTACAATATGTAATACATCTCTTCCTCCTTACACTAACAATTTATATTCAGGATACTCTAATGAAGTACATCTTGAGTCTCCTTTTCACGGCTAATGAGGAGACAACAAGAATTTGACTAATACTAGTACAATTACTGGAGCAGTGAAGCGTGCATCTCTGATTAGATGTGATAATTTGCAAGGCTGGGCTCTTCACATTAAGTTTGCAAACAGTTTAAAAATCACTTCCTCTATTTATCCAGCTAATCTCTGTTTAATGACTCCAGACATGACAAAAGAAAGAGAAAATATCTCTTAAAATCCTATACTTCATTTATGAAGCTTGTATGTAGAGCAGAGGTGTAATTGATAGTAAATCTTTTCCAGAAGATTTTTGGATGAAGCCATGCAGCTGACTTTTTACAATGCAGTGGTATTTTTATTATTCCTGTAATACTCAACCTTCTTTTTGTAGAGATTTATTGTCTTTGTCCAGGTTTAGACATAGCAGATTTTTGGCTCATTTGATTTCTTTTCTTTCTGATTCACCTTTTGAATTAAGTACTTGATTATCTATAAAAAGCGAATATTTTTGTTGAACTTGCTTGTTTTTTCTCAGAAAAGGTTTGTTGAGTGACTGTTGATAGTGCTGTTAGGGAATTCATCAGTCATCAGCATCACAGACAGATGGGTTTTAAAGGAAATCTGGCATGTGCCATTCCAGATTTTTGAAATGCTTCTTTATCTTTGAGGCCTATGTTCACCATTTGGATTTGAAGCAAAGATGCCTGAAAAAACAGGAACTCAAGTTAGAATTCTTGATGAATTTAATTAAGTAAATAGAAGTAGTTCTTGCTGTCAGTAGACATCCTGAGGCAGGAATGACATAATCTTATTTTAAAAGGGCAGCCAGCTGTTTCAGATGGACCTAGAAATGAATGTCTTCATGTAAAACTCTGTCCCAGAATACATCACTGATAGAAATAACATGTCCTAGGTGTGTGAAGAAAGAACTTGCATGAGAGAATGTAAATGAGTTTGCCAAGTCACTTGATAGGCTCATGCCTGGACGAAGTGCTACTGCATTGTCTCCAAATTGCACAGTGGCACCACACAAATGTGATTTCTTTTAGGATCCCCTAAAACTGAGTAAAACCAGATTGAAAACAAATATTCTGTCATACAAATTTAGAAAGGATTCAAGACTGTGACTCACATAGATATTTTCTGGAGTTTTCCCTAAAACGTGTAAAAGCAGATGTATGGAATGAGGATTAAATGCTCAGCCTGTTGTTTTACATATATTTACTTGTTTATATAGCTTTCAGAGAGCTTGATTAGCTGTGTATAATGTATCTTGTTAAAGATGGGCTCTGGGATTTCCCTGTCAATTTTGCTTAGAGATACCTAATACTTTTTTGTTTCCACTGAAAAGCAGCAGCTGCTGCAATGATTGTGTGGAACAGACAGAAAATGTGCATCAGCTTCCTTCTGGACCTATGGAAGCTATTTGTGTCAGGGAGAAGTGGATCCTGAGAGCAGTTTTGACAGACCGCATGGAAAAAACATCTTTAAATACTGAGGGCATCTGGATCTTTCTCTTCTTCTAGACACAAAAGAGATAAAAATAGAAGATCGTGGGGTTTAGTTCTTGGGGATGGCAGGTTTTTAAAACTCATCTGAATTCCAAGTAGCAGGGCATCCTCCCTGATGACTGGGATATAGAAGGGTGGAGGCAGTGCAAAATGACATCACTTTTTGCTGTTATTTAATGTGATGGAAGATGGCCAGAAGATTGCAGCTTCAGAAATGGAAAAAGCAGATAAAGGATTTCCTTTATTTTTGGTCTGCAGTCTTCACTGGTGGTCCTAATATGGCCAGTTGTCTGATTTCACTTTTCCCCATTGCAAAGTAATAGATTTGAGGACCAGGAGGTAGCATTTGAATATGTGTTGTCTTCATATAATTCTTAATGTTTTTTTTACAAAAATTGGCTCTTTCTGCTTAGAGCTGGAACTAAGGAAACTATTTCTCACATGAGGAAAAAGTGAATAGAAATTACACGATAATCAGGGCTAGCAGTAAGTGTGACTTCCTTGTGTGCTCCTTGTTCCTGATGCCATTTAGAGCTGTCATTCTTGAATCTCTGCATGTGCTCTATATAACTGATATTACTTTGTAATAAGAAGTTTCCTATTTTTAATCACAACAGCACAGCTGGGAAACAGAGGACTGCTTTTGCTCTTGCTCAGTACCTTGGGAGGTAGCTTATTCCCCCCCTGGGTGAAGATGAGGATACTGCAGTGTTTTCATGCCATTTGGATTGTACTTGTGATTACTGGGAAGTGTCTTCACCATCACCCAATAAGTAGTTCCAAGCTAGGGTCCAGTGCTGTGTCTAATCTCCAAAGGTGCCTGTGAGGCATTGAAGAGAATTACTGAGTTACTTTTCTGCTTCCCTGTGCCTCAAGGCAGGATGCACAATAATGTAAGGGTGGAGCTACTTTGTCTCCAGCTGCCTGTTGATGTCGGGATGGTTTGTGTTTCAATAGAGCTTTTAGAAACCATTTAAGCCACAAGATGAGATTTTTTTTAGGAGATGTTTACTTACAAACAGATTAATGTTAATGCAGTTAAGTAATAAAAAAAAACAGAAGCAACAAAATCAGTCATTAACCTTCAGTTTAGAGCCTCTACTAACTGATTGTTGGTTTCAGCTTGTGGGGCTGGCTAATGAACTGCTGCTTTTTCTAGAGCTCATACCTTGGAAAGTTCCTAGGGCTACACAATTCCCACTCCTTTTGAAGCAGATAATTAGCAGAGACATCCTGATTTAATTCATTTCCGAATGAGGTAACACCTTCATTTTTCTCTTCTGTTTGCAAATTCTGTGACTGTATTAAAGACAGGACAGGAAACTTTTCATTTTTTCTGCTAGTTAGTCATTTTTAATTTGCATTCTCTGGTGTAAATAGTAAAGTATGCTTTGCCTGGTAGCCAAACAGGGTCTGATTTGGATCCCTGTGAAATCAATGCAAGTCTTTCAGTATGCTTTGTAGTTTCGTAGTAGATTAATCACTTGTACTCACTTTAAAAGAAACAAAACCACTTGTGAGCTGGGCAAAAAAACCAAACCCAAGTATCATGGAAATTATATTTGGCCAGGAATATATGCTAAGAAGGGCTTTTGCTTGAAGAAAGTGGCAGCAGTTAGAAGTCACACTCTCAATTTATCTCTAAACCAAGTAATTATCTAAAATAAATCCCAGTAGTTGTCACACATATCAAAAAAAAAAAAAAAGGCAGGTTGGTACTCTTCTGAATAAGCCCATAATAAAACCTTAAGTTTATTCTGTTGACAGTTCCTTAAATTAAAAAGTGAATATAGCAAATTTTTCCTCCCAGTTGTTTTTCACTGACATTATCAATGTAGTGGAGCACTGTTTCAAGCATGTAAAGATTGTCTTTGCCTTTATCTGTCACCTGAAGTTCCTGATTTCACCATAGCAGTGTCTTTGCTTAGTCTCTCTATTTTGTTACAGTCCGCAATGAGAAAAATCTGGAACCTAATGAAGCAGCCTAAATTCTCTTTTATAAATCACATCCAGGGTCCCCAGTGCTGGGTTTGCTGGCAGTCTGCCAGGTACTGTGTTCCCTTCACAGATGTATTGCCTTTCCCTGCTGAGATTACTCACATGGAAGAGTTCAAATATCCCTGAGTTTGTCCAGGAGCATAAGCAGTTCTGTGCTTAAGGCATTAGCATGGCAGCCCAGAAATCTGAACTTGGAGTTTAGGCCACATGTCCCCAGACATGCAGAGAAATCAATATCATGAATGGCAACAGTGTCAGATTTGTCTGTTTGTAAAATAGCAATAATATTTCCTCCTTTCTTCATTCACATGGATCACAGGCTCCTTAAGGAGTAGATGGCGGTCTGCTAATCACAGAAGTACTTGTATTTTCCCAGGAAATTTGTTCTTCTACCAGGAGGAATGTTGAAATATGATTCACAAACCAATAGGGAAACTACTGTGAATTCCAAGTTTACCCATTCCCTCAGGTTGTTTCTACCTCTCTGTGTATCTGACTTATTTGAAACCTCATTTCCTAAGGAAATAAGGTTTATGAAAGCATCTTTACCTGTCTTCCCTTTTTGAACCAGACATGTTTGTGAATGGAGTTCTTAATCATATTAAAATCCTAATAAGTAATAAAAAAAACCTCCTGAAAAGCAAATATCTTATCAGAATGTCCACTGGAGGGAGTGAAAAATAAGCATAATTTAAATTCTTACTAAAGCATAAAAACCCACACATAGTAGTACATTATGAATGCTTAGCTGCTTGGGAAAAAAAAAGGGAGCTTTTGGAATTGTTGCTGTTTCAGGTGTTAGAGAATCCCCTCCTCAACTAAAGCTTCTTTCCTGTGTGAATTACTGAATTTCAAACAAGGAGCAATAGAAAAAGTTCTTTTTTTTCCATCTAATACCTACTGGATATTTAATTAGGGTGATCTCAGTTAAAAGTCAATTAACTAGAAGATACTAGTCCAGTGGAAATGACACATAGTTAGCTCACAGAACAACTTCTCTGCAGATTCTTTGTAACGTCGTCCCCAGATGTGAACTGTCCCTTCTGATCATTGTGCTATTTCAAACAAGTTGTTCACACACTCCACAGACTTCAAAGCAACTCTTGTACAAAGCCAGTCATCCTCTAGTTTGGAATAAATATGGATTTAACTATTTCTTAAATTGCAAGTTAGAAAATGGCCTTAAATTGTAGCATTCCTTTCCATTTAGTTGTTGTTAATCTGAAGCTAGTGTGGTGCTGTTTGCTAGAAGAGTCTTCTCATGACAGGCAGAAACTGATGCACAGGAAGATTCACCTGAATATGAGGAAGAACTTCTTTACTGTGCAGGTGACCAAGCACTGGAACAGGTTGCCCAGAGAGGTAGTGGAGTCTCCTTCAGTGGAGATGTTCCAGAACTATCTGGAGGAAAGCCTATCCAGTGTGCTGTAGGATGACTCTGCTTGAGCAGATTGGTTGGTCCCTTCCAACCTTACCCATTCTGTAATCTCTTTCAGTACCCTGCATTTTTGCCACCTTTGTGGGTAATATGTGCTGTTTCACCACAAATGAGGCTCTTTCTCCATGGCATTTTGCCGTGGATTTTATTGTGGTTTTGTTTGTTGCCTCAGAGAGACTTTCATTTGTGTAGGTACTTACATCAGTTTAAGCCACGTTTTCAGTTTTCTGAGCTCTCTGCCTAAACCTGGAAGTCCAAGAGCTGTGGAACATCTGCTTAAAAACTCCTTCAGAGCTGAAACTTCAGGTCATTTTCACAGTGATTTCTGGTATGGTCCATAAAATAGACAATACAATTGTTAAAAGACAATTAATAATGCTTCTTTAACTAATTAAATGCTTCTGTAACTAATTATCAGGCTTGTTCCTCTTCATAAGCTCTTTACACGTGGATGTGGTATAGGCAGTTAGGACATGAACTTCACCAGTGAGCTTTTAGCCTGAGTGCTTCACTACCCTAGAGGTAGATTTTGTGCTTGAGGACTACTTTTGAGATGCAAAGTTCCAGTTCATAGCTGTTGGCATTTGGATGTGCACCACTGTTGAAAATGTACAAAATGTTTGCCATTGTCAGAACAGGAAGACCAGCTACAACAAAAACACTGCTTTCATGAGGAAGCACATATATGCAACAGCACACCAAGTATTCCTAGAAGGAATCTGCTGTCCTCCTGATGTGCAAGGGGAACTTATTTTTGTGTGTATTTTCCATTAATACTGAAATAAGGGTTTCTTGCCATAGAAATCTGAAGGCACAGGTTTGGGATTTTTTGGTCATGTAAGTTAAAACAATTAACTCATTCATGAGGCAGGAATTTTAATTGAGATCACCAAGGCTGAACAACAAGCGAGTTATTCACAAGTAGAATTATACCTTTTCCCAACCCTTTCCTCTAAATATTTGGTCATAGAAGGGCTTGTTTTAGACCAACTGCAGCAGAAAAAAACATTACACTTAGATTTGATATTCTGTGAGTCAGTGGAAGTTGGTAACACACAGCTATATTTATCTTGTCCTGTCATTTCAAATGTACCTTACCCCACTCTATGGAATCATTTCTTATAGATGCTGGCAGCAGTCCTTGCCATCTCATACCTGATTTTTTTTTTTTTTTAAACCAGACTTGTTTATTTTAGACAGGTTGCTTCATACCCTGTTCAGAAATGAAATGTTTTCTTTGTGTATGGAATTTGACAGAAATGAAGAAAAATCTCATCCATTTTCCTCAGTTGTCCTTACCTCATATGAAGGAAAACATTCACAGCTGTCTCTAGTGTCCTGCAATGCAATAATTTTTCTCAGAGGTAGGCTAATACCCGAAAACCTGCTGACAAGGCCACTTGCCTTCTGTGGTACTGTAATGTCTGGACACTGGGAGTATAAGTATGATCTCTGAAAATTTCCACTAAGCCCAGTACCCCTTCAAACAAACTCCTAGCTTGTTATTTAGGCTAACAGAAAACGTACAAAGATTTTTTACTGGCACTGAAATGAATAATTTCCAAAGCACCCCAGGGAGCTACACACATAGGTCTTACTGCAAATCAATGGGATTTGTACTCAGTAGAAAATTCTCTCCTTGGACAATTACTGCAGAAATGTATTAGCAATTGTACTAAAAGAAATCTCCAACATCAGATGAGTTGTTTTCTTTCTCCTTCGTTGTCACTGGGTTCCTCTTTCTTTCATATGAGTGTAGTGGACAGTGCTGTGCTATTGAGGCACACGTCCAGTGTAAAGTTGAATTGGTTTGAACATCAGTTGCTGCTCTAATAACCATTTTTAAGAATGAAATGAATATGCTACAGTCTGTACAAAAGGAAGATAAATGTAAACTTAGATCAGATAATTAACACGCCTTTGTGCAAAGTGCTTGTAACAAATCCCAAGAAACTATTCCACAATTTTTTAAAGCAAGGAGGTTAAGCTTTGTAAACTTGATGAGGTTTATCTTTCACTCTTTGAAGTGATCTAGATGAAACGGGGCTTTTTTTTTTTTGTTTAAGGTCAAGAAAATCTGAGTGACAATGGATATAAAACATTTCAACTTCAAACCAATTCATTCCAACTTCACAAACTGGAAAAAAATACGGATTTTTTCCTGTGATTATATAAACAGAAAGGTTTAGACACTGCTTTCAGAGATGCTAAACAGTACAATGAATTGTAATAGTGCTGGTGGGGAATAAGATCTTGATGAACAAAAGTGAGGATAATGTATTTTCTGGAGGATATCCAGATTTTTTTTTTTAATGAGACTTACTAAGTTTTACCGTTGATTCAAGTAATTGAGCTGAATATCAATCACTGCATGACTAGAAGAAAACGCCTGGCATATGTGTGAGAAAAAATTCTGGATGGGGATCCCAGTGCAGTTCCATAATCCATGCCTAATGCTGTAGTAGCACCTGCAGTATGTCACTGCAATCTCACAGAGCAAAACCAGGTGTGTATAAAGGAAAAAGCCTTTTACAAGCCAAATACTGTGGGCTGAAGTCAATAGTGGCTACACCCTAAGAAGGTCAGAATTAGACTTTAAACATTCATCCAATTTTGTTAAATTGAAGTATGTAACTGTTATCATGATGGTAAAAAATTTTATTCTTTCCTGTGTATCTAGGATTTTATCCCATTACATGCTGACCTTGCTTATATAATTGATAAAAGGGTATTCCATTAAAAGTAAAAGCTTTTTTATTTCATTTTGTCCATATGGTTCAATTTTTAATGTCCATCCTCTAAGTGACCAAACATTTACCAGG